GGATACTGTACTGGAAAAGTAACTGCTAGGATGAGCTGGATGGAGAAAAGAAGAACGGACAAGAAAGACAGTGAAAGAAGGTTGTAAAAAAAGATCCTGGAGATTAAAGTGCCAGGAACCTCCAGTAGCATAGGCATAGAAATGGGACCTTCGAAGAGGTCCTTAGGCAAGGAAGACAAAACAGCAGGAACAGACATTTTCAAAAGGCTCTTGAGAAATTAGAACAAATTTCAGTCACAGGTCAGAGAAAATGAGTAACCTAGGAAAACAAATGTTAGATATATTTAAGCTGAGGCCAGATGACCTTTAGTCAGAGAACTTAAAGATTATACTACTATGCTGGGCCCAAAGGCTGAACTATGAATTTCTAGACCCTTGATATCCATTATTTCTGTGCTACTTTTTATGAAAAGATAAATCCAAAATAATTATACACCATTTAAATATTCATCATTTACTTAAACAAAGAGAATGAAGCTATTCATGTACAAAGTAGTGCTAATCAATAGATCGATAGATTCATTAGATCAATAATCTGTTTCTGGACCTTTGAAATTCCTTTCTATCAGTTCTACCCTTGGACAGACACTATTTCATCTGCCTCACCCTCCACCCTGAAACTATATCTATGGCACTAGCTATACTTATACAATAAGCCATGCTATGCTTAAAAGAAAATTGAAAGAAACCACTATCATGAAGTTATTCTCACAAATAGGCATAAACATTCTTTTCTAATATAATAATAAATGTTAATGGAGATCCAAAAAACATGAAGTTTCACTAAGGGTATTCATCTAATTGGGTTACAAACATCCAAAGCCCATTTTTTAAACACTAATTTATACTACAAATAAATTATATTGATTCATATGGCTGAAGTGGATTAGCACTACTCATATTAATACCTAATTGAGATCCCCCATGTACATGTACTTAAAAAGAAATTGTGGAGCTAAAGGTAAATATAAATCATCATTTAACAGATACCTAAAAATATAACATTAAGATACAGAAGGGCACTATAATAAGAAATCACAAGATGTGACTCATATTTACCTTGCCTCTATGAAATAAACTTAAATTCTAAGGCTAGCTTAAATAAAATAGAATTTCAGATATGCTAATTTTCAGTTTTAGAAAACCTAGAAACATCTTTCTCCTTGGCCTCTCTCCTAGTTCTCCTATGACCTAACTGCTCTTTGACAAGGTCACGTTCTTCTCATAAAATGTCGGTTTTCCAAAAGGACTCATCCTCAGCCTATTCTCCTTTTCACTCTACAAACGTTCCCAGGCTAGTTCTTCTGTTCTCATGGCTTTCAACACCTCAAATTTCCCTTCTTAGTCTAAGATCCCTATATTTCCTACAACTAATTAGACATATTTACCTGGAACTATCATAAACACCTCAAATTAACAAATCCAGAATGGAATCTCCCCATGAAATGCCTCTGGTCTGATTTTTTGTTTTGTTTCCCTAGATAAATGGTTGGCGATGCCATTAAATATGCAAACTAGGAATCCTAAATTGATCTCAACTCCTCCTCCTTGTCTCCCCCAAAGCCTGTTAACTCTACCAAAGCAGTGTCTCTGAATTACCTCTCTTGCTGCCCTGCTCTCCAGCCTTACCAGAACAGTAATTCAGGCAGGCCCTAACCCAATCTCCCCCGAATTACTGTAACTTCCTTCTTAACAATCAACCGGCTTCCAATATTCCCTATCTGTTTTTCAGGTGGTCACAAGAATAATCATGCTAAAATGGATATGATCACTTAAGAAACCTCCAACAGTGTCCCACTAAGCCTGGGCATCTTCGTACACTGTATAAGGCTCTTCTAAACAGATCCTGGTCCACTTCCCAAGCTTCATCTCTAGCTGCTCTCACTGATGGACCATAAACCAATAAAGGCTATGCACAGCTCACTTCCACACTTTTGCTAAAAAACCCTCTCCAAGCAGAACTGCTTTCTCCTCTAGTCCTACAACACTTCAGATGGGCCTAGATCATGGTGTTCAATTAGTGTTCATTGTTATGGTAAGTAGCTAGTTGAACATAGCGGTTAAGTGTGTAGTTCTGGAGCAAAAATATCTGGGTTCAAATTTCAGTTGTGTGGCTGTGCCTGTTTATTCGTCTATAAAATAGAGATAACAATAATTTTATATACCAAGATTTTATGAAGGTTAAAGTGAGAGAAACTGCTAGCAGACTGCCTAGAATAAAGAAAATGCTAAAAAAAAAATGTGAGCTATCGTAATTTCATCTCCCTTCCAAGACTATTCAAAGGCTAGGACTCAATTTCATTCACCTTCCCCCACAAACACACTTAACAGAAGGCTTCAACTGAATTAGCAAATTTGAGGCCCTTAACACTCACACCATGGCCACTCTGATTCCTAATAAAATGCTTCCCCTTAACTGCCTGGAAGTTGAATAACTGTTGAATTAAATGAAGATACACTAAGACCTGAAGGAAAACAGGCAGGGAAATCAAAATTGAGCATATATACTTAAATTATATAAGATACCAAATTTCACTTTCAATTTTTAATAATCTTACTAATGGAAAAACACTCATCCCAAAATGGAATTCATAATCTACTTCCTAAAGAACTTTAAGTTAGGCAATCAGAGAAATGATCTGAATGAACATTTTAAGGCCCTTAAAGTTTTCATAGTTCCAGTTTCCAAAATGTCTTGGAGTTAGGGTTGGCATTAAAGCTTAGATGAGGCATAAAAACAAAGTTAAGAACATATAAACTAAAATTTATAAAGAAAAAACATATGTTCTTTCATTCCCCCTCATTCTTTTCCTTTATTTCCTATTTTCTTCTTTTAACATTAAGCTAATGTTTCTCTTATATTACACGGTAGTGAATAGTAGACTTAAAAAGAGAAAAAAAGTGGAGGTAAAATATAAATGTAAACAGTAAATATCAAAAAAAATCGAGAAAGGCATAGAAAAATTTGTAAATCAGACTCTAAATACTAAATAACATTTCAACTCAAATTTCAGCTTAAACATTGTTAGCTGTTCAAGGGCTGGGACTCAATTTCATTCACTTCCCTCCTCACACACCTTTAATACTTCAACTGAATTAGCAATTTTGAGGCATTTAACACCCACACCACTGCCACTCTGATTCCTAATGAAATGGTTCCTCTTAACTATTCTGGAGGGTGAATTTTCAACTTAAATTTTCCTTTCATTTAAAGTGGGGATGGGAGTACCTTTAGTTAAATTAAATCAACCTCTGCCCTAACAGCATTTCCATCAAATCTCTACACTTTGCTAAATTTTGAGTATAGGAGGTAGCATGAGTACAGGTTAATAGCATAGCCTTTAGGGTCAGATGTAAGTCCAAGTGTAGCCTTTATTTGAACTCTCAAGTTCTGCCACTTAACTAGCCATATAACTTCTGCAACCTTGGATTCATCATCCCCAAGATGAAGATAATGAGAATTAGATAATGTATGTAGAAAGCACTCAGCACATTGCATGGCACAGAATAAGCATCAGTATATCTAATGTCATTATGATGATGTTCCTTAAATCTTAATTTTCATAAATTATGGTACACAAATAGAACAGAATTCTATTTTAAGTATTTAAAACATGAGGCAGTTCTAAACTTATTGATACAAAATATCACTAGAAGTACAAAAAGAAAAATGAAATAAAAGAACAGAATAGTGTAGAGTCTGTTACCACTTCTATTTTTTAATACAGATATATATATATATATATATGTTTGTACATACACAGAACATCTCTAGAAATACACATAAGCAACTAGTATTAGAGGCTGCCTCTGAAGAGGAAAACTAAATGGCTAGGTGACAGCCATGGAAGAGTCTTACATTTTACTATATTCCTTCTTGTACCTTTTGAATTTTGTATCTATCACTTACTTGTATTGCCTATTCCAAAAATTAAAGTTTATATTATGACCCAAACCTTATATCACCAAAATATCCCATTATAAAGTGGACTTTGCTAAACTTTGCAGAAAACCCTAATGTGACTTAATTATAGTTCTAGTATTAAACTCTATTGATGGTAGCAGTCAAAGATTGATAGTTTTAAAAATAAACTCTTATAAAAACTCTCCAAAAAAAAGACTGATTGTTTTAGCTAAATTGGCCAGCGAGAACCAATTTATTAAGATATGTAAGGGGGTTGCTTGAAAATGAGAAAAAGCATAAGTATGTGGATGAGAAAGACAATAAAAATAACGTCATTCATTCATTCGAAAACATCAGGCACTAAACACTGTGCTGTATATACCGAGGAAACAATGACAGCCTGGTCCTTGCCTTTGAGTAGCCCATAATTCAGTGGGAATATACGAATAAAGCAGTAAAATTAGTCCTCCTGTGGGCTTGGTTACTCAAAATATATGTCTATTCATTCATGAGCACATAATAATTGAATGAATGAAGCAAGCCCGGTGACAACACACACCCCACTAAAACCTCTAGTGACTTGAAAAGAACATCAAGAGTTGATCCCTCAATCTGCGAATGCTTGTGGACTTCTGTTCCCAGAATCTCCAGAGCCAGAGGTCCCTGAGGGCCCTCAGGGGTCAAAAGCGTGGCTTTCAGATCCAGTGCCTGGTCACCAGCCCGGTCAGCTTGGGAAGACGCAGGGTGGAAGGGTCTTCAGGCCCCAACTCCACACTAGCATCTCTTCTAGCCGGGCACTCCCACACCTGGCCTCACCAGGTCTTAGCTCTCGTAACAACCACAAGGAAGTAAACGCTCAGTCGACCTCTGACCCTCAAAATGACACTCTGAGCCAGCTCCCTCAGTACTCAAGGCTCTTTCATAACATACCAGGCAGTAACAAAAGGGCAAGAGAAGCTGAAATTCTTTCCAGGGGTCCTTGGCTCCGAAAACCGTGAAACCAGTAGGCAGGTGGGCGAGATCGAGGAGAGTGACTGACCCGAGGCTTCCCGGTCATATGCAGTCGGCTCTGCCTGCTCATTGTACACTCACTGACCTTTCAAAAAGGGATTCCCAGGGGCGGTGGCTGGAGGGGCGAGAGCAGCGGCCCAGGCTCCGCACCCAACAAATCTCCCTCTCAGCAGGCTCTGCACTAGTCGCAGGGTAACCAAGGGCGACCAGGAGGCCGCCATCTTGAACTCCGTACAAGGGGAAGAAGAAAACTTTATTGAAAACCAGAAGAGAGACGGTGACACAGACAATTCCAACCTTGCTCGCGGAAGACTCCGCTCGAGAAAACGAAAGGGATCAGCTCAGGAACGCGGCCTACTGTAACCACGGGGCGGGCTAGACTCTCGTGCCCTTCCGTCCTTTGGGCGTTGCCACTGGGGACTACGACTCCCAGCATGCAAAGCGACGCTGCTGGGGCTGGGGAGGGGCGGGCAGCTCTAAATTTGAGCGGAGAGGCAATTCTGCGCCCCGCGCTGGCTGCAGAGGGTCCCAAAACGTTTCCAAGGAATTGGAACGTGAGTACAGCGTGAAACCACCCCTGAGCCTTTTCAATTAGCGTGGATGATGGGGGTTACGAAGCCTTAATAAAATGTGGATGACTCAATGGGCCCTCATTTTTTTCTCACATCTTCCTTAAATGGTAGCCCCAATTCTTTTTGCCTCCAGCGCCCAACTCATCTTTGGCAGAGTACCTGAAGTATGTGTCTACCACTTTTGTTTTCTGTATTAGAATAGCATAAATCATTTTCAATATGACATAAGCTCAAATGTTTTGAATTTAGAAGTGACATGGGAAAACCGATGGCCCAAAATGGACGGTGACTGGACGGAATGGCCGTGGGTTAGTGTATACAAAGAGGAATTTTAAGTGATCTGTCCAAATTTTATTAAACAAAAAATGTATTGAGGCAATATGACAAGTATATTGGGAATACAAATTGCTGCCCAGACAGGCTGACAATCCAGTAGGAAGGGTGAAGAAAGAGACAAAATTTTCTACCAGGTGTATGGAATCAATGAAATGAGAGCACTCTGGGAAATCTGGAAGGCCTTCTAGAAGCTTTACTTTTAACAGAATATGAAGACCTTCCTAGAACAGGGAATAGAATGAGTGAGCTAAGGCAGATAGGCAAGAAAGTCTGGAGTACAGGAGGAAGAAAGCCAAGTTTCAGTTGTGTGGAAACTAAATGAAAAGACTGCACTAGAAAGAGTTCCAGGAAGTTAGGCAGTTGGTCCATAAGAGAAGAGTGATTCCAAAGAAACAGGAAAAGGAGAGCATAGCATGGTATAATAATTTGGAGACTTCTCTACTAACTCTTTTAAATCATTTATGGAAAAATTATTTTGATTATATCTTTCAAAAGTTCATTTTTACTTATTAGTTGTTTTCTATCTTTAATTCCACTATTCTTCCATGCTACGGTGAGGTTTTTTTAATTTCATTTAATGTTACTAATTTTTAGTGTGACACTTTGTGAAAGACTTTTTGAAAAATCAGACTGTTTCTTCCTTGACTTACAATTTATCATACTCAAAAAGACTTTGAGAGAATTCCGGGTAACATTTTGTTTGCTCTAGGAAAACAGTTGCTTACCTTGGTCAATGAAATTTACCTTCTATCAGAGATTCCAACAGCTTAATAATCATGGAAGTGAAATAAGTACTCGTAGATAGTTTAATGCCAAATTGGCAGGAAAATCTCAAGGTACTTTTCACGTGGCTGTACAAGTAGACAGAAACATAGCAAATGATACCAATGTAAGTTAACTTAGAGGGAAATAACTTAAGTTACATTTGTTGTATTCAAGAGAATTCATTATGACCAGAACACTAATTAAAGCAGGCAGGCATTGTATACTATTTAAACATCAATTCTGCTTTTCCTGCAATTGCCGAGACAAAAAAAAAAAAAAAAACCTGAAAGAAAATCTTAACATTATCAGAAAATCTAATAGAAGTAAATCAGAAAATCAGAAAGCATTCTTTTGTCCTTATTTAAAAATCTCCCTAAGTGCCAAATTCTAACATCTAATCTCAAAGAGAAAACCACACGGATGGTATCCAGAGAAAGACAAGTAAAACGAATAATGAAGGAAATGGGAAAGAGAGTGCTCATTGAAATAGGAGTCAGAAGATGTATTTGAGTTCTGTTTTGTCACTGATGAACCCTCTTCCTTTCTGTTTTCCTTATATATAAAAATAAGATGATGTCTGTCCTAGCTACCTAACAGAGGTTTTGTGAGAATTAAATGAGATAATGTATATACCCAAAGTGTTAATTAAATATACTTGTAAGTAGAAATTGAGAGGAAATAACATCAAAATCTAAAATAAGGCAAAGCCCAGACAGCATGGATTCATGATATGCAAGAACTGTAGAAATAAGGAATATACTCTAAAACCTTACTTATTTTATATTAGTTTTAGATATACAGTACAATGGCCAAACATTTATACAATTTATCGAGTGATTCCCCCAAATACTGTAGCACTCATCTGGCACTACGCCATTACAATAATATTATGTTCTCTATGCTATACTCTACATTCCCATGGAGAATTTTTTAAATAAATAGTCAAAAGCACTACTGAACCTTAACACTTCAAGTAGCAAGTTTATGAAATTCATTAAAAGAAAAAAAAAAAGAATTTCAAGTAGGATTTAAATAGATAATAATCCATAATAAATATGGGTGATTTGGAATGTTTAGTTTTTTCTAGCTCTAGTACACTATGATTTTCCAACTCTAAATTCATGAGGTTGCCATCTTAGAGAGTACCTTTGGGCTACTGTCAGAGATAAACTGCAGCTAAGATAGGCCATTGGCATGAACCAGCCAGGATACAGTTCCTAATACTGTTCTTATGACCATTTTCTTCGGAGCAAGAAGATGCCCTAATACCTAATACCCACTTTCACTCCTCCATCTTTAGCCTTCTTCATTTCTATAGATGCATCTGGCCCCCCAGTTGCTCAGGCCATTTATCATAGAAGAGTTATGCTGTGATCTCTTTCTTTCTCATCCCACATCCAGTCCTGCAGTGAATTTTGTTGGCTCCACCTTAGAAAGTTTCCAGAATCCCATCATTTTTCACCACTAACATTTCGAGCGCCCACCCTGGTCCAAACTACCATCATCTACCTCCTGGGTTATTGCAGTTACCTTCCAATTGGTCTCTGTTTCTACTCTCTTCCCCTACAATCTCTTCACCACACAGCAGCCAGATTTATTTTTTAAAAGTTTAAGTCGAATCATGCCATTCCTGTGTTTAACACCCACTAGTACCTTCCTCTGTCACTCAATTATTAAAACAGCTCCATAACTTGAACACTAGTGAGCTCTCCGATTTCATCTCATGCCACTTTCCCATCCTCCCCATCTAGTTCATCCACATTGGCTTTCTTGCCATTCCTGGAACTCACAAGCCAGCTTCCCACCCCTTGAGCTTTTCCGTTTCATGTTCCTTCTGCTTGAAATGCTCTCCTCCAAGAATCTACTTGGTTCGCTTCATGTCCTTACTTCCTTTTGACACTTTCTAAGTTAAGGCCTTCTCAAATTACCTATAAAAAGTCACAGTCTTATCCAGCATTCCTTTTCCTTTTTCCAGCTTTACTCTCTACAACACTTACCATCATCTGGCATAATATACACTTTACCAATTTAATAGTTTATTGTCCGTTATTGCTCCTTCTGGACTGTAAGCTTCATGTGGGCAGGGATTTATATCTGTTTTGTTCACTGGTATATCCTCATGACCTAGAATAATGCCTAGATTAATAGACACTAAAAAAAAAAAATGCTTGTTGGATGACTGAGTAATCTTCGTAAAAATACAAAATGTATTATTGTTTTAGTCTTTATGCAAAAAAGCAGACTACCTGCTTCAGGAAATCAGTGATGCTCCTAATATTTTGAGCCCATTTTAAAGATGAATAAAAAACATCATCACAGAAGTAATTAGAACACAACTACAGAGCCTTTGTTTTCCACTATTTATTCATTCATTACTTTGCATCACACATGGTTACTCATAATTACATGTTCTTCTAATTTAACAAAGAAACACTTTAGAGCACCAAGAAATGTGTTCGATTGAAGACACATAAGGAATGCTTTAAATAATAATTCATTTTCTAGAGTAAAGTATAGTCAAATATCTAGCTTCTAAATTCCAACATTTGTATTTAAAGATCCCTAACCAAAAATATAATTTAGATTACTTAATTTCAACAAGCTAAATATGCCTAAGTACCTTATTAATTATGGAAAATATAACTTCTAAACAAGATATACATACCTCAGTAATACAAATTTACATATAGATTTGTTGCAAGCAGTCCATTCAATAAGCAAGAATTATATATTTGCTGACCTTCCAACAAAAGTTACCAATTTTTTCCTTTACTGAAATATTGTCTAACTTGTAACTAGACACTGACCAAAAACAATATTTGAGGTCAAGTACAACACTCAAATCTTTAGTTTCTTTCTACTTATTTTCTGCAACAGATTAAAAATAATTGGGCTTTGTTTTGCAGTTTTGAATATTCTTTATCAAAATGTACTTTAAAATCAGTTTGAGCCACATGACAATGTCTGTATTTACCTATATATTTCCACCTTAAATGTTCATTACCCAAATGTGGAAGGATGAGGGCAGCTTTCCTTACATAATTTCTCCACATGGCCTTTCTGCCATCTTTCTTTTTAAAATAGCAGCAACTCCCAACTAATTCTAACCTCCCCTAACTCCACCTGCAAATTTGTATTCTGGGAGCCATATTCAATTAATTTCTTTTCCTCATCACTCACATACAATCTTCACCAGATATTACTGAATTTATCATCTTAATATGGCTTAAATCCATCTACTATCATCGGGTCTTCCTCCTATCTTTCCTGGGCTAATCTAACTGGCTCTGTCTCTTTCTCCTTAGCTCCATACTGCTGTCAGAGTTGTTTCCAAAACTGTGACCTGACCACATCTCATGACAGATTCTAAAATTGCAATGCCTCCCTACTGTCTACAGAATGAAGTACAATTTCTTTATTATGGACTTTTAGAAAATAAAGATCTGGCTCCCATCTACCTTACCATCGTCTCCTATCACCCAAATGATTTAGACCCAGAAAATATTCCATGGGCGATTTACCAAGTACCTCATTTGTTTTCATGAACCTCCATATATATATTTTGGAAAAGCTGGAAAACTAATACCATTCCCTCCCCCTTTATTTCCTAAGTATGTTCTGATACTTTTTTTAATTAGAAAAAAAAAAATCACTTTAATAAAAATAATTATAAAACCTAGTGATTGAACTGTTATATTTCCAAGGCAACTCTAAGAATGTCCCAGGTTTAA